ATTTTATATATGTTTTGATTTATATAATTAACACACACGATTTCATCCAATCACTTGTATAAACTCTAAAACTAGATGAAGATGATCTTGTCGAAATTGAGAGTAGCGAAGAGGAAGATGATGGGGAAATTAAATATGATGATTCCATTAACGATGCTAGTAATAGTGATGATAGTGCAGACTATTAGCTTTTTTTTTTAGTTTAAGCTGCTTCTTTTTTTCCATTGCAAATGGAGTGATTTCTAACTGCTGTAATGTTTTTTATTTTGCTAAGCATCTTCTTTCTTTAGGTAGACTATATCTCAATATGCTAATAGCTATATATCCTATTTACTATATGCTCCAATTTTGATTTTTTTTGTATTTTTGTATTATTTTATAATTCTTTTACTTAGAAGTTTTGTTTTTTGTTAGGCTTACGCCGCAATCCGCCTCGCCTCTTAAAGAAAAACTACCTCAATACTTAGTTTCGCCTTTTTAAACCTTGATAACTTCACTGTTAAGCGTACAAGTTTGTTTTAGAATACATATTTTTTTATTAGTCAAAGTTCGAAATAAGTTATTGAAGTTTACTTTTAGAAAAAAAAGTAATTTTTTCCTTGCCAGTTAAGAAAAGTAGGTTATCCAAACATATTTAGAGGCACAGAATTATTTAAAATAACTCTATTTTTTAAGCGTAGCTAAACACAAAATATTTCATAGTGTTAGACAATGCAAGGTACAGGTTTAAGACTGAGTAATGCCTCATGCAGGGTCGGATACTTCAAGGGAAAGAACCGCCCCAATTCATTGCCATCTTTCAGCCAATGGTCCGTCCTTAAGGTGCCCTTTCAATAAACCAGGGTATTGATACTTTTGAATCGACATTTATTGCTAATTGTTCACAATTTTTTTCCCTTCAGATTGTCGAGGCTTTTAGATACATAGTATATGGGTATTGCTCAAGGAGTTGGTCAGTCTGAAACTGAGATTTTTGTTTGAGTGATCATTTTGGAACAAACTGAAGTTAGTGACTAACACGAAACTCCACTAGCTTGACTGATAATGTTTACTGCTTTATGATCAGAGCAAACATTGAAGTTGGAACTCTAGAGGAGAGAATGATGCTTTCCGAAATGTATACTGTAGCAGATATACTTTTTTACGATTGTGGGCAAATATTTGGCTGGAAATTTGTAATCTCTTACACCAGATTCTTTCATTTTCACTTAGGCTTCTTCAAGTTGCTTATGAGTTCAATTTATCTAAATATACCATTTTATTCTTCCAGGTGGCAGCACACGAGAAGAACCACAAATATAAAGAAAGGAATTTGTTCTTGAAAGGTATTTTTCCTCTCTCTCTCTCTTCTTTACTGTAAGTTTTTTTCTTCTTAGAAATTCAACATTTATATTCCTGGTGACAACAATGTTATCACGTATGTTAACCGAAATAGAGGAATGATCGTTGACGGAGACAATTCTGAATTCAATATTGATACTCATCCAACTAGAAGTGATGCTGATGTTTCTTGATACTATAGAGAGATTGCTTGTGTATGTTGATATAAAACTATGAAACTGCTGCTTGTATCAGATGGATGAGAGATTAGCATTATTAGTACTTCATTATAAAATAATGAAATTATTATGGATCAATTGGTTATAATCTTCTCCTGGTATAAAAAATCATACAACAAATGCTATTGCTATTAATATTAAAGGAATACTGAAAGGATGACTTCCTGAAATTCTATTCATGTGATTATGGGAAACTTTATTATCCTGTCGACGTTTTGTTAGTGTCTTTCTCCTTAGCAAATGCAAAAGGATCTCTTTTGGCCATATTTGTAAATTAAAAAGTTGTGTCATACATTCCTACTGGTTCCAGATACCCAGGATTTTACATCCTCAAGTTGCACTGTTGCAGGCTAGAGGTGGAATGCCAGTAGCATTTGCTGATTTTGAGGTATTTTCTTGTTGTTAAGCCAGTATTTAACCATTTGTTGATCAAGTTATAATTTTGATCATGATTTGAAACTAAAAAAACACGAGACGTATTTTTCCTGCTGTCAGGGAATTGACCAAGCAACTACGGCCATGAATGCACTTCAAGGAATCTCACTACCATCATCGGACCGAGGTTGCATGCATATAGAGTAATCTCCTATTGCTCAATATTTTTCACTTTTGAGTTTTTTTTCAGTTTTATTTAATCTTTAAGCTCAAGGAGTTGGTCAGTCTGAAACCGAGGGAGCATGCATATAGAGTTATCTCCTATAGCTCAATATTTTTCTCTTTTTTCAGTTTTATTTAATCTTTAATCAAATTTCCTAGAAAATCATCTTCGTTCTAGAATGAAAATATTACAATACCCAATAGTCAACATCATTAATTGTTAAATGGAAATGCTATTGCTCGTCATACTATTGAAACTTTGATGTGTTTTATGAATTTGTATCATCGAACACTAAGTTAAATATAGAATGACATTTAGTAATTGATCATTTCTCTCATACTAATTGTGGAACATCATAAATGTTTTGTTTAGGATCTTTTCTTAATGCATTGGCTGGCAAAGGAGTTCATGCTGTAATTGTTAATGATTATATGGCTTGACAAGATTGTGAATGGGTTGGTCAAGATCCTCATTTTCTTGGACTGAAAGTTGGTCTAATCCAACAAAGGTCTTTATTATAACTTGTTTCCCAAC